ATTGACTTTGAATGTTTTGGGACTTACGTACCTTCTCACGGGGACAATAATTTTACAATACTTCAACACCCTTTGAGGGTGCAGCCACTAACAATCTCAGTTACTAACCTTAATTACCAATAATACAATATTTATCTATTTACAAATTATTTAACAAATCTAATTCTTTTAAAAATGCAATAATTAAATGAGAACTTATGTTATTAAAAAGATCCTTCATAGTTCTTGATTTGAAATAGTTATCCCTTGTGATGGAATATTCAACACAGTAAAGCAAGACATGTTTGACCGTGATTCTTTCATCACAAGGGATGCAAAACGGAGGATCCTCACCTTCAATAAGTATTCATGAGTATATCTTGTGTTGCCAATACGACATCGTCTCATGATGACCTCTTCAAATCTGGACTGACAACCCAAATCGGTATAACCAATATAGGGTTTTATTGCATGTAATTAATTGATACCAATTTGTATGTCCCAGTTCTTTTGCATCAGATCACGGGTATAAGTTCTAATGCTAGCTTTGTAATCAAGAGTATGGGATAAGAACTGGTGTCGCAGATTTGGCAGCAAGGTCAGCCATTGTATTCCCAGAAATGCCAACGTGGATGGGTAACCAACTGAGGACGATGTCGTACTTTCCAGTAGCAAGATCATTATCTTATTCAATAACTTCAATTGTAACAGGATGAAATGTTTGTATATATTTAGTGTTTTTAATCTTTAGTTTTAACTGAATTAAATATTCAGTTTAGTGTATTTTATACATTATATACTTCACTCTTCAGCTTCTCTTAACCCCTCTTTCAGCTTACTGCATGAGTTTTCTGCCTCAGCCACAGTCACCTAGAGCACTGCCACACAATAGCCTGCCCAAGCGCGCCACTTACTGTCCCTTTGACATAAACCTTGTTAGCTTACTGTCCCCGGCCCTGTTTAAAGTTTGGAGTTTAATATCAGTTCAGAACATTTCTGTCAACTAGCCACGAGACATTTGTGAATATTTTATTTGGATTATTTGGATTATTTGGACATCGATATTGGAGGTCTTCAGATCATTTCTGAAGGTTAGTGTCTTTCACTACTTTTTGTAGTTTGTACATATTCATTTGATGTATACGCATATCGTGTTTATGCTTTGGTAATTTGGCTGCTTTGTCATATTGTAAATATTGAGAAGTTTGTGATTACTAGTTGTGTTGCTGAATGTAATGCTTTATGAGTCTAATTATTTACAAACGGTAAATGATTCAATAATCCAGTAAGTTATATATCAGTGTTAAACTTTATCTTTAAGTACTATACAGCTGTCGTATGAATGTGTAAATGTGTGAATGTGTAAATGTATGAATGTATAATGTGTTAATGTAAGAATGAAGCAGGGTTTTACCATTATACATGTGTTTGATGTTTCTTCTTAAACAACAATAACTAAACGTATTTGTTTGTATTGATATTGCTGTCATTTGATTAGTCTGCACAGTGTGTGCACATATATGTTTCAGTAATTCGTGCAGATGTAGGTGCATTCCTCGTGCAGCTGTCGGTGTGTACTGATTATACCAAGTTCCAAACACTTGGTGGGTTTGTTATATTTTATGCATTATGTAATGTCTACATGATAAGAAATGTTTGTTTCCCTATATGATATGATATGTATATGCATATCTATGTATGAATTAAAGTATATATGGAATGTGTCATCAATGGAATGTTGAGGCAATGTATATGAAATAGGTTAGTAATAATCATATTTCGTAAATGGTTATTTCTAAAGATGATTTTCTTTAATGTTTTGTCTAAAGAATGTTTTAATTGTTTTAGGGTTTTATGAACTATCAGAAATAAAGGGCCATACTGCGAACACTACCGTGTCTGTTCAAATGTTGAAACAGTTCCGGTTTCACAATTAAAAGTAGATGTTTGCAAGAAAGATTTTTAATAGCCTGCAGGCACGAAAGAGAGTCTGAAAATATGATATATTGTTTATATTCAGGGTGTTTATTAATATATTTTAAGGCTGTTAATATGGCGTTAGCTTCTGCTGTGAAAATAGAGCTGTTATCAGGCAATCGAGAAGATATTGTAGTGGCACGAGCAACTGCGCCACCATCCTTGGATCCATCTTTAAATAAGGATTTATATGTATTATATTTATTTCTTAATTGATAAATTCTGTTTATACTGTAATTCATGTGGTTAATGTTAGGTCAACTTGAGGCCTAACCAGTTGCCAAGGAGGAGATGAAAGAAGACAGGAAGGAGAAATATTTTCTAGCTAAATGCCAGCATCAGAAAGAAAATGGTATAATTCTTATTCCCAGAGGCAGAACAAGAGAATATTTCTTGGCGTATAAATCCTCATAGAGGGGGATTGAACACACAGTTATAAGCAGGGTTAGATTTGTTAGAGTACAGTTTGGTAATATACTGTAAAGATAGTTTTATACGGTGTTATGCAAGAGTTGGCTCATCTGCCTCGACGTAGAGACTGTCAACACGAGACGTTCGAAAAGACCCAAGACAAAGTCTTAAATCTAGGTGGTAGACAGAATCAAGTACTTTTCGGTTGCTTTTGCAAGCTCCACCATAAACGATGGAAGCTTGGAGCGGACCAGTGATCTATATAGATGAGGAAGGGTAGATTGATCCCCCTCCCCACTTAGAATTGGAAACGACTTTCAACAAGTCAAGTGCCATTAGGCATTTATTTTTTAGGTATTTTTAATATGCGTAAAAGTTAAATGGGAGTCGAAAATCAGACATTGAATTTGGCCACGTTGACAACTTTGATTGGAGTGCCATTTAAAAGACGTTCTGGGTCTTTATGCAGTTTGTATTTACGGCAGAAATGTATACAATTAGTTTTGGATTTAGAAAATTTAAAGCCGTTTTCAAGACACCATTTATCTATTTTTTTCAAACATAACTGCATTTGCCGTTCAATAGTATGCATATTTTTACCACGACAAGAACTATTAAAATCATCCACAAAAAAGTGATCCATCAATTGAATCATTTAAAACCTTTAATAAACTGTTGATTTTGATGCTAAATAAAGTGACAGACAAAATACTGCCTTGACGGACACCCTGATCCTGATTGTAATGGTCAGACAGGGTGGAACCCACTCGGACTTGAAATTGCCTGTCAAGAAACCAGATTGTATATCCGTTATTAGGTTATTGGTTTCCAAGTACCAAAGAAGACGATTGTTGATCATGCGTTCCATGGTTTTGCAAATGCAGCTAGTGAGTGCAATTGGTCTATAATTAGAGGGATCAGTATGATCACGTCCAGGTTTAGGTATGGGAACAATAATACCATTGCTATGGTCGGACACATCCATGTCCTCGAGAGATCCAAACTTAATAAAAACCTGGACCTGATCATTCCTTCCTTTAGGAGTTCTGTTACTTTCAGTCTTTTTGTACGTTTCACTTTTCGTTTTGGATTTGTTTTTGTTGAGATGGTGGTTTCTGAGATTTAGATGGATCCTTCTCAGAAGATATCGTGGATTGTATGACTGTTTTTGATTGGCATGTGGTTTGTGAACTGAGGGTCGTTTGGGGTGGCTTCGCCTGAATCTCAACTGATAGCAATGTAGGAGGGGATGTCATCGCCCATGTGTAGTCGGTCTGACATCCTACTCAGTTGCATGAAACACCTTTGGGTTTGGTGACGGAAGAGATGCAGAAACAGTAGCAGAGTAAGTCTGGCCCGATTGTTCTTGTGCAAGAACAATCTTCTTTGCTTATACAAATGAAATGTTGCTTTCGTGCTTCACCTGTGATACCTTAGACTGAAGTTTCAAAGTAGGGCATTCATTGGAGGAGGAGGGATGACAACCAGAACAATTAACACATACTGGAGGTTTGTCACAAAGGTTATATTCTCGCATGATCCTGCACACCGATGACAAGCTGCTTTATAAGCACGATTTAGAACCGTGGCCATATTTTTGGCAGGTATAGCATCTCAAGGAATTAGGAATAAAAGTATCCACACTTGGCAGATATATTCTACAAACCTTCCTACATAACATACTTGAGGTAAAATAGTCACACCTTCTTTATTTCTGTACATAAATACATAAATGTTTGACAACTGAGTGAATATATCTCAAGATTGTTGACTATTATTTCAGAAAGAAAAAAAATCACATTTCAGAGTTGTGGCCGTTCTTGTGCTAAAAATATATTTTTTATATGTTTTTACCCTTGGGTGACACAAAGACCTATAGGTATAATGGTAAGGCTTAGATATGTCCAAAAGACATTGAAGTGTATTGTTCAATGTCTTTTTTCACCACAAAACCACCAGATATAACTTAATAAAATCATATTTTACATTTTGACTGAAACTGAAAATTTGGTAATTTTTGGCATTTTTAGAGAAGTCAATAGAAAACTCATAAATGGTCCAACAATTGCAATAATTTGATTTTTTACACCCAAAAATCAAGCAAGTGAAATTTTATAATTTTCATAAAAATACATTTAAGTAGCCATTTCCATGCTTTAAAAAGAATTATCGCCCTTGGATACTCACAATTTCAAGAAAATATCATAACTCAAACTGACAGTACCTAAAACTAACTGACATTCTGCAGAATACCAAAGACTATCAAACACTATTTTCAGATTATGTAACAGGGCATCTTCAAACACGTTTGATTAAACATCTGAAAGTATAATTTTCTTTTCCTTGTCAATCTGGAGGAAGTTGATCGCTTTGGCACATCTTCAACTTCACTCTCATCAGCGTCGCTGGAAGACAATTCATGAGATGTTTCATCAAATGGTAGTTGATGATCTTCTTCATCCTCCTCTGCAAGGTATACTGTGTTTGAATGCTGCAACTACCGTGACACTATCCACATAGATGCGAACATTTCAATCCTGCCTTTCTGCACCCATACATACGATCACACCCTGTTATACAATTGCATTTGATCATGTTCATTAATGTCTCTGGTGCTGGGGGGTCATGGGTTGTTACTGGCTTGAGCTGGCCACAAACAGTTTGCCATCCCCATTCATTTGGTGGGAGACTTCTTCCAAGCCCTTCTTCCATGTCCCAACAACAATGGCTTTGTTCCCATTATTAGCACAATCAATACCTGCTTGTACAATGAGAAGGTCAGCATCTGCACTGGCTTGTTTCACTGGGATATTGAGCTCATGAAATTGTTGTCAGAGCCTTTATCAAATGTGACTTGTTTTTAAAATTGGACAGGAATGTATCCTGTTTGATCGTCAGTGGTGTTTCAGAATTGAAGCCAATATCAGTGCTCAGATATGTAGGTGCTCTCCGACTCTGTTCAACACCTTTTGTGGACACAGACTTGGCATACCCATCAAACACAATGATGCAATTGTTTCCAAAGTGTCTATTGACATATGTCAGAAAAGCATCATAAACATCATTGTATGTTCTGCTTTGGGGCCATATCACTTTTTTCAGTAAGTATCCACCATCAACTATGTACCTAGCGTCTGGAGGAATGTCCTCATCATGTGGAAGGCTTTGTTTGCCTGACAAAGAATCAATGACAGAGTACATGACCGATTTTTTCTCCTTGAGTACTCATCCAAAAGTGATAGAGGACATGGAGAAAGTTCCTATTTCAAACATTATTAAAAGTCATCATCTGTTTTAATGAGGCACAGGATGCGATGAAAAACTGCATGGTATTGACAGGTATAACATCATTCTGTATTTTGATTAAGTTGTTCATGATAGATAGGGTGAGTACTTTGTTTCTTCTTTGAATATGCAGATCTCAAAAGCTTAGCAGAATCTCAAATTGCAAGTGCAGAATCGCAGTTATTGTCTTCTTTGCCTACGATTCCACTACTCAAGGAGACCAGTTCATGTCCTTGTTCAAATGGAAAATGAGTTAATAGCCATTCAATCAGCTTGTTAACGTCACTGGTGTAACTCTCAATTCTAGACGTCCTTAATTCTACGTGCTGGTCAGGACTACAAAATCTGGTCCCACAGAATTCTTCGAAGTACTGAATCATTTCAGTACAACAAGGCATTGCCAAGATCCATTGCGCCAACACACTGTCTGTCAGTCCGCGTCCACGAGTGAGACCACCGGATGTCTTCATCGCCTACATGAGAACCTGTTCAATTGTCATGTCTGTCCAGATGCCAGCCCACATCTTGTCACTTTTGCCTGACAGTAAAACCACCAAACCTCTTAAAAGCTTCAAATTCATCCTTGGGCATAATATCTCCCAGTTGTGAACATACAAATGGGCACTTTTAACATAAGCAAAATGTCCTGCAGCATGAAAATATGGTATCATCTTACAGGCAGCATCAAGATGAAGATCCCAGTCTCCGATCCTTTCAGCTCGAATCAACTGGTGTATCAAAGAAACTTACTCAAAATATTTTCACCACAACGTTGCAGTTCTGCTTTGAGGTGATTAAAATTCCATGACTGCAGTCAGTTTTTCGACAAGGTTTGTGACATTGGCAATTGATGGAAGTTCATCAGGGATCACATGGTGGCTTTGAACATCCTTATACAAAGTCTTCAGACAAGCTTTACTTGTTTCATCCAGGCTGGCCTTCTGCAAGGCAATAACAGCTATTGCTAACTGTGTCAGAGTATGAGCCCTCAATGCTCTTATAGATGCGTGACCATAGCACTTTCAATCCACTGCCATCCATTATATAACCGACCGAACCCATGAAAGACTTAAGGAAATGGAAACGACCAAGTCTGACAACAACTGAATTTAGAGTACTTTTGTTCTGGTGGAAAGCTGCAAAATCAACATCTTTCTCATATAGAAGTTCGTCAAATGTCACAAAACATATTTTCTGTCCATGTTTCCTGCATTTGTCAGCAGAATATGCCAGCACAGAGTATATTTCGTTTGGGTTCGATGCCTGCAAGTTGACACATGGCAATGGGATCACTTTGGATACTTCATAATTGTCAACACTTCTGGCACACTCCATGTATCCGCTCCAGCAGGGAGTGTCCTCCAATTTCAACCATACTCCACTCATCCAAAGCGTATCCAAAAGAATATGCACAGAGCTAGAAAAGGTCAGCTTTCTGACATGGAAATGTTATCACCATGTCAAACCAAGCAACCCTTTCTTGCTCTGAAATGAACAAGTCAAAATATCAATGACTTGGACCTGACAGTGTCTGCTGAAACAGCTTTGATACGCTTGATAATATCAGATATACGGACAACTACCTGGTGTGACACACATGATTCCACGCATACTATGAAATGTGCCATATCCATCAAGTGTGCATACATTAAATTCTGCATACATTAAATTCTGCATTGTCAAAGACAAATTGCATGAAGGCATTTTCACCAATCTCATGATCCGCAGCCATTGCAGAATGTTAATAGGAAATAGCCTCGTTATATGATGAACGCACTCCCAAGGCTGACATAACATCAAGAGTGTGCTTAGATCCAATTTGTTTGTGAATATACATGGCTAAACCAAGTTGTATCATAGACCTCGTGGTGGGGGCTGGGTAACGTTTAGAGCTCTTCCCCCATGTGGATCTGAGGTCAAATGGGTCCATCGCACCCCATTGCTGGTCACAAGGAGCGACCGAATTGGGCAACCTGTTTGCTGTGGTTGAGGGCAAAGGAGCAGAACAGTGTTCTTTTTGCCAAGCACACCACTTCGGACCTTAATTCACCTAGACGGGTGGTAGAATGGGCCCGATTCTATCAATCAACTGGTCATGTCGAGCCCTGTGCATCCTTTGTATTTGCACATATTCCATTTTGAACTGTATTTATTTACTTTTAGGTCTCGGCTCTTTCTGTCTATAATACATTAGTTGATTTTGACATATGACTTATCTACTTTGCCTAGAGTCTTATGCCCAGAAGGTGGTAGCTCATGAGCCAATCTGGTAGAATTGATCTTTTCAAGATACTTCCTGAGTAGTATAGATAGTGATGATTCCATTACATGGTCCCTCTATAATGCTTATTTTCCAAAAATAAGTCTTCCTCAAGGATGAACCCCCGTGGTCGACATCCTGGAAAATCTTCCGGCGAATTCCAAGTCTATCTCGACGAACCACCGTCAGTGCGCGAAGTCGAAATTGTAAAAGGAATCAAACTCCGGAGGACCCAACAACAACAATACCACATTTACTCCGTTTATGTGCGGGTGAACGTGAATGCCTACACCAGTCTGCAGGAGTCGACGTGACACAATGAAGACACAATGTCGCTCACCAAAATTTTCCTGTCAGATAACATACATCTCATGGGCTTGAACTGCACGTCCGAGAAATTATCCGAAAACCAATTGAAACTATTTCGTAACATATGTATACGATGAACCACCCCAAAGTCACGCTAGGCGATCTCGGGACATGGAGGGATTCAATCTGCCCGGCGAGGAAAACACCTTGTACGTCCTGCACTTCAAAGAGCCCAACTGGTTGCTCACTGCCAGATTTCAAAGAGCCAAACTGGTTGCTCAATATCACCATCGCCTCGCCCCACATTCTCTTGAAAAATGATTACGTCTCCGAAATAATGACCAAGGGGATCATTCTCACGTCGTTTAGTCCATCAAGTGATAATACCATACAAGTATTGTGAATACCGGGTCACACGGGCAACATGTTAACTCCAGTCAACGATTATGCAACTTTTGGAATGCACGACATACCCGATTTCCCAGTCTAAGTAAACTTAGGCTCAGTATTATTCGTTACACTGCTATACTGACTCTAACAAAACCTTGTGGAAGGTCTCGTCAACCAAATTTTTCAATTGACCAATCAGAACACAGCTTTCCAAATCGCGAAAGTTTACATTCGCACATAGCTTTGAACTTTTACCTCGAAAACGTTTTGTACCCATACGATCGCTTCCAGAGTGATGCACATGGAGCACGCCATAAACCGTGAGTAAACAGTCGCTGAAAATAGCGTTTTGTCAGTTTTCAAGGATGTCAGCTTGCGGAAATATTAGCTAATGATAACCGTGTCAATAGAAACCCAAAAGCGTATATTCTGCGGGTCATATATCTATGGTTTATGCGGGTTTCATTAGTTGTGAGATCAGTGTCGGCAAACCGGGGAAGAGTAAATCCATTTTGTAAGTCCTGCTGGAACCCTAAATAGTAGCCGTTGTCTGATTGGTTAAATTCGTTCTTTCCTCTCACCTTTTGATTGGATGGTCATAGGCCGCTCAAAGGTTACCTGACCTACACCTTCCACAAGGTTTTGTTAGACACAGTATAGCAAGGTAACGAATAATGCTGAGGCTAAGTTTACTTAGACTGCCGATTACCAACAATATTTTTCGATTCAAAATTTTGCTATAAAATTACACACCACGCTCATAATAGAAATATATCTCGTAAACGCTTCCGCATCACGATTACTTTTGGATGGACTGTCAACAGGCTGGAACGACAGACACAAGCACCAACATTGCCGTATCATCATACGACCTGGATTGACACCCTTAACAAGTCTCGATGGGGTTCGTGTTATAGAAACAAAGTCATCCATTTATCTCCAGAGTATTTACTTACACGAAGATCTAGACTTTATCAGCCTCACATACATCAATCAAAGATTGACGGAAAACCAATTAAATATTATTTTCTTAAACTATTTTCTATTGTCGGAGAACCAATTGAAGACTCTTCCATAATACAAGTATAACCATCGGTGAGGTTTCAAACCTGAGTCTACATGCCACCATCACGTTCTCCGATCTCGGGACATGCAAAGATTCGATCAACCCAGTACGGAAAACGCCATAAATGTATTGCACTTACAAAACAATGTGTACAAAAGACGAGAATTGATAATCGAATCTCAATCGAACTGGATCATCAATATTATCCTTACCTACCTATCTCATGCATGGATGATGATAATAATGTCATCGAACTAAAATAATGGGTTTGTACTGAATAGTTTTATTCACCAAAGGTATAAAAGGGGGATATACTATATGAACATTACCAGATCAAACAGGTAATATGTTAGTCACCATTCGGAAAACAAACATAAATGGTTAGAATTGAGAAGATTTACTGAAGTCCCAAACTCGTGGATCAGTGTGCATGCAAGGTTCTACACTTATTGGCTTGAAGTCTTTCTTGGAGATGCCCCCGCAGAAGATGTGAGAATTCTGTTGGGGTTAAAAATACACTGACATGATCGCCATCACAAATAAACGTTGTCATATTTATATAAAACCATGAAGAGCCCCACCCAAACCTCGAGGGGTCATGGTGTTTCAGGAGCCTAATATTTTACTCCGGACCGTTTTTTATACGAACACTTGTACCCCATCAGCTTAAAATTATATTCATCAAAGATTGACGGAAAACCAATTAAATATTATTTTTAAACTTATATTATATTTTCAAGATGGGATTGTATCCGACCATGGACGAAGTGGCTAAATGCTCAAAACCGTGGATGGAATTCTTTTCCGACAAATCAGCGAGAATAAATGTCAACTGGAATGAGAACGCGACGTGCGACTAGGATTAGAAACATAAATACCATTGAGCAACGAATGCTCTGGACGGTGTAGACACCGCACTCATAGGAACCAGCATGGGGCTCGGCGCTGCTGGTGTTGGTTTATTATCGACCAGCGGTCTGCACCCGTGGTGCTAGGCATTGAAATAACAGCTGGAGTGGCAGGGTTGGTGGGATTGGCTCTTAAATTCATTTCACGTCAGCCGCAACGTAAAGCATTAAAACACGACAAAATTCGAATTCTAGCCGAAGCGAAGTTAAACACGGTCGACGATCACATATCAAAAGTGCTCACGGACAGTAAAATCTCCCCAAAAAAGAATTCCGTCTGGTGTTAGCAGAACTCGCAAAATTCCACAGAATGAAACAGGAGATTCGAACCAAGACTCGGAAAAGCACTGGCATCAGCGAAGAGGAGAAAAAAAGTTCATAGAACAAGGCAGACAACAAATCATTGCAACCTTCCTTACCAAGAACAAAGATCTCATAAAAGATTAACGTTGACATACTCAAGAATAGTGGACATAGACATGGTGCGTCACATTTCTGGAAACGCATGTAAAATATCTCGTTTCAGCAACAATTCAAGGGACATAACTCGTGCTAGTTTTACATAACTTCAGCCGCTTCAGCCAAATATTTTATGTATGCTTTTTCAAAATTCAGTTGCTCATTCAGTAATAACATAAATCTAATAAAGGAGACATATATATTTATTACACAGACATTTCATCAAATTTAAAAATAGTGACAAATAACTGGACAGACAATTCCCATGTAAGGAAAAGGCAATGGTTATTTCAGGTTTTAGTTTTAGTTTCACGCCGCAGTCAGCAATATCCCAGCTACTAGTATATGACGGCCTTGAAATACATGTTGATTTTTCACTTAATGGTTGAACGAGTTGGCGCCATTTACACATTATTTGCCATTTTTAACAAAACATTTCGTTTCGTTGCCTTTGTTTTGCACCCTTTGGACTCTAAGTAGTCCCTCAATTCAGGCACACTGGCCTGATTGATATCAAGCTGATGCAAAGACACATTTTCCACTTCCTCCCTTATGGCCTGTCGTTTGGATTTTCTCATAGCCGACAAATCCTCTTCCCAGAATTGGAGTTTGCGCTTTGTGTATGTCCTTTTCTCCCTCACATTGTGTTGGTTCCCTTCCATGCGTTTTCGTATCTTTAGGGCGTCAGCTGCTGCATCCCATTTATTTGATTTTCTCTGATTTTATTTCGTCATTCATTTTGTCAATACCCTGGCAGCTAAACTGACGCAGAGGTCCAAATTTGGAATACATGACAGGTGCATGGTAAACGAGACAATGAATATATGGAGTTACATTGGCTTTGCCATATCCCAACTCCTTTTCCCCCAAAGACAAGAACCGGTTTAGCCATGCCTTAGCTTTGTTGAAAATAGCCTCCCCGGTTACCCTTTCCCCACCGTAGACAAGATCATGGAACACCTCTCTGAAACCTGTCCAAATTAAAGTGATGGTTTCGACCGTATGAGTGGGTAAAACATCCTCGAGTTTTGAGGGCAGTTCATTTAAGACCTTTTTTTTGTCTATTCCTGATAAACTCGTCCAGTTCTGATTTCCATTACTGTTTTTTTCTTCCCAAACCGAAAATGCAACCCCACATGCCCGAAAGGCCTGGATGAGTTTATCAGTGTACTTTGAACTGCATTTCCCTTTTGTCTGGGACTGGTCTAAATTGCGTGCTTGATTTATCAAATTCCTTTCCAGGACATCAGTGATCCGAAGTAGCATATGCAATTCATCTACTACAAAATTGCCGGTTTCAATTTCTAACAAAGGTAAATGTTTCACACCATATGTTAGGCTATGGGCACAAGCTCTTAAATCTGACAAAGATCGTGCAGTGGCGGGGCACTCATGAAAGTGATTCCATGTCTTGTTGGTCTCCCAGCGGTCATCTTTGTGGATTTTGCACCATGGACAAGCAAAGTTCCCAGTTGATGCACCTAGCCCTAGTACTATTTGCATCATTTTCATATCGGCAGAGAAAACTATATTGACACTAACATTCTCACCCCCTACACTAATCTTTCCCTCCCTTGCTACTTCGTTGATCTCTTCAAACAAGGCTGACAAACAATCCTTTAGACATAGGTACGACTCTGGGCAGCTAACTATGGCCAAGGTAGAGTGGCGCAGGGATGACATATTCTGTGCAGGATCAATTACTTGAGAGGAGAAAACTACAAAGTTTGATTTTCTACTAACCCTTGTTCCATCCCCCCCTATCTTAACAGTAAACTCTTTTTTAGACGGGTTTGCTTTCAGTTTTTCACCAAGTATATTTTGAAGATCTTCCTTGAAACTGACATATGCCCCTACTATATTTCCAGGAACTCGTCTGATGTTAAACTGAGATATTTCTTCCCTTTCACTGACCACAGTGTGTGTTCGAGGTAGATTACAAAATGCTTGGCTGAGCTCATGGTATGCGGCATCGCTAATCCCATATTTATCCAATATGGCCACTAACCCCCGAAGTTTATCCCGCCTGTCCTCGTCTAACTCTTGATATGAAAGAGCATCCTGACCTATATCCATGGTTAGAGACTTCCCTCTTATCTCAAGTGACAGTGATCTCGGGTTCAATCCCATTTCATTGAGGAATGACAAAACCTTCTTCACCTCGTCCTTCACTAAGGATAATCTTCTACCAGATTGTCTTGCACCTATATCTTCCCAATCCTTTCTGAAAGTGCCAACTGATGGTGTATCTATCATATGGGCCTGCAGCTGGCCACAAATCTGTGAACAACGAGACTCTAATTCTACAAGCTCAAGTTTGCATCTCTCAAGTTGATCTGCCAATTCAAAGTGACTCTCAGTTTCGTGCCTAAAAATTGCTATCCTACGTTTGTTTGCTACGTATTTCTTTCTAATTGCCCCTGAATTTGTTCTGCGAACCTTTAAACAGACCTCTGAACAAATACGCCGAAAATGTTGTTCTAATCTGTCACGCTGCAATAGTTTCATTGCTGTCAACTGCGTATTGACAATGCAGATGTAAGAAAGATCTGGATGTGTACATTTCACCTGTTCCAGCTCTTTTAAGAAAAGGTTTGATACTTCAATGCTAAATTCTACACTTGGTATCATATCTTTAGGAAGGTAGGGACTGATACCCGCAGTGTGACAGATATCAGTGCTGAAAGGCAGCTGGTTTGGGGTTTGAGGGGATGCCATAGTTATTGATACAATGAGGGTGCTATATATATATATAAACATTGACGGAAAATTAAGATTCGTGAACCAACCAAACATTACATCTTTAATAGCCACAACACAATAGCATAGTTGTCATTTACCCCAAAAATAAATCTAGATTTATTTATTCCCCTACTATGTAATGAACAGTTGGTTACGAATCTTCGTAGGTTAATCTATATATTCATCATGTAAGCACAGGGAAACGTAGGCTTGTCACCCCACATGCTGAGATCTGAGCCTTAATCACAAGTGTCTCAACGGGTAAGCGCTGGCAAATTAATTGTCCATCTCTAGCAAGCCACATTTTTCTAAACCTGAGGTTTGGCCTTATCCGCATTGGAAACTTTATGCAAACGCCTTGTCCATGTCTGTTCAGTTTGTACCACCAACTGATACCCAGTGGCAACTTAGCGAAGTCTGTGAGTTCTACAAGCTTGTATCCATGGTTAAGTCCAAACACGTAACGGTAGATATCCAAAGGGAATTTTAGTCCTATGGTTGAATGTCCAGACTTAAGTCTACCCTGAACAGTGGTCTCTAGAACCCCAGCAGCTGCGGTGAGCCGATCCTCGCTGATGGCTGGTGATGGGAAGCTGTCCAGCAGGTGGTCAGAGAGATGAATCCGGGGGCTCCCACGTTGCAAGCTGTAGGGGATAATCACGCCACTTCACCAAGTACTCCGACTTCTGAAAATATGAACAAGTGCAAGTAGTACATGTAGATAGGTCACATATCAAATTTATAGCATTATTCTTACTTCTATGTGAAGCATGCAGTCTTTTTTTATAATGAATGTAGTTGGACTTGCCCATTGGACTAGAAGAAAAAATTATTTCAAGTTCCAGGCCACAGACCCATAAGTAGTCTGTCTCACAGTCCCTGAACCACATTATTGTCCCTACTACCAAGCCCCCTCTGCAGTGCTAAAGCCCTAAATAAAGCAAGTCTAGATTTCCTCAGGTTCAGGTTCTGAATCTCTGGGCTCCCCTGGGGCTCCTTTCCAATATAAATGGGCTTGTTTGTTACTGTCAAAAATATATATATTCATACACTGAGCCTTAGTCTAGCCCATAGGACATACATATTACACAGAAATACAATCAATGGTGTATAACACAAAGAGATACAATCAGTAACTCTCGTAGTTTAAAATCAAGAAAAAGATAGTTTGTACATCTAATGTCTTCTAAATGTAAACCTTCTTTTACCCAACCGTCGACATATCTTTTTCATGATTCCTTTGGTGGATTAGTACAAAAATATTCAGTGTTACTCTATATACCTAGGTATCTATCAATTGTAGGTATTTTTCGGTGTCTAGTACACATTTGAAAGTGGCATAGGTTTAAAGTTTTGATTTCTGGGATATATTTTCATTCCATTTTTGTTGAAAACAGTCCGTTATGCGATTCTTAAATTGAGAAATGAATATTTGCGGATTTCCAGCATCCTGAATTATCCAGACGTAGCCAAATCCATATCTGAAGAGAAGGATCTGTTTGTAATATTTAGTTTGTACCTCCTCGATGTGTTCATTGTATTGGAAACCCCACACTTCAGAGCCATATGTCAATATAGGTAAAACCATGGATTCAAACATCTTGACAGTAGTATTTGATTTGTACACACCTCCAGATAAGTAGTGTATCTTACGGATGTTGAGGCATACCTTTTCCGCTTGTTGTGCCAACGTTGATGTTGTTTTTGTCCATACCGGTTTAGGAGGAAATAGTCCAAAATATTTATAGAATGAAACTGAGTGTATTTTCTCTTCACTGTAGAACCAATTTACATAATGTCCGCCATTCCTGAAAACTGTTATTTTTTATTTGTTCATGTTTAAAGAAAGTTACCACTTACATGTATTACTAATTTCACTGATACAATTAATGTGTTCTCGTAGTCTTCCAGTACTATCAGCAGCATTGGCAACGTTGGACTATTTACACTGTTTAAGATACATCAATGAATAGTCCATGATCTTGTTGAATAGTTTCGGTTATTTTCATGCTTCTTTAGGACAATGAGGGATTAGGATCGCATGTAGCATATGTAGAAATAGCTCACTCCTTTACTGGAAGGATACTCTTATAGCATTTACTGAAAATCACATTTTCTGAGTGAATATTCTGTTTCATTATGTGTTTTGAATGACGCGTTTTCTGATGAGTTTTTTGATTTCTTAGATATACATGCCAGATGTAATCGCAATCGTCATCATTCATGCTAAAACTTGCAAACTTGGTACTTGACGGACAGATTAATCTTAGTTCTTGATGTGTTTCATTGTGTCCCACTCCACAAAATTGCACATAACTAGTTTTACTATTTGGATTTAATTTTGAACATTTCTCAGTCCGATAAATGACGTCTCAAAATTGTTTGTTTTAACAATGCTAATGTTTCACGGCTCATGTGAAGAAAAGAAAGAAACATGGATTTGTTTATATCGCATACGCATTACTGCTTTACGGGGACCAGTCCAGACAAAGAAAGTATGTGTCTGTTAACATGTGGTCGTCATCTGTGCATTTTATGATGTCGGCAGAAGGGATTAATGTATTGTGGTAGGCATTGGGAACCATAGGATGATGCCATATCAGAAATTTTCGAAAATTACAACATGTCTCAAAAGCTATTTTCCCCTGCAGTTGATCAAGCTCTATAATAATTCTATTTCATAAAAAGGGGGGACGGAAACGATCCAGATAATTATTGGGGTATATCATTAAGTATATCATTGAGTATCCTGATGAAAGTGTTTACGTTGATATTGAACAATAGTATATAATATTATATAATAATTGAACACTAATTGCGTGATAAAATTAGTGAATCCCAGACAGGATTTAAATAGGGATATTCTACTACGGATCACATATGTATTCTGTATATGCACTGGCCCAAAAATCAATGTCAAAAAGAAAGCATAAGTAGACATAGCATTTGTAGATTTCGATAAAGCATTCGATTCGGTCTATCGTTCTAAATTATGGAAGTGTTTACGCAAATCAGGTTTCCAAGGGAAAATTGTCAGCATACTTAATCCAGTTTATTTTAACGTTCGATCTTCTGTGCGTTGCAAAGTCGGGGTTACACATCTTTTCGATTACCCTCTTGGTTTAAGACAAGGTTGCTGCTTCAGTCCAATCATGTATTCCTTTTTCATTAGGAAATAAACAGAATCCAAATGTACCCAGATCTTGTAGAAATCCAATGCTCATTTTAAGCTGACAACGTTATTTTAGTTTCGGATACTGTAATCGGTTTACAAAATCAAGTAATTATCTTAGAAAGCTGTACTAGAGAATGGAAGTGAGCAGTTAATTTAAGTAAAACAGAAATTGTAATTTGAAGGAGAAGCGATGCTGTGGCCGTAAACAAACGCTGGTTTTATCATGGTCAGTTGATATGTATCCGATCAGTATTCTTACTTAAGGTTTTTGTCTCCACTGAATGAATTTGAATAAACGCCCACAGAAATCAGCTTTAAGTAGAACGGTTTATCAGTTATATACAGACTTCGGTTCCATATGGTTGTGTCAGATGACTGGCGATGTGAACAGGTTCATTAATGAATTTCGTGTTAGATCAATAGACATGTTTTATCAAGAATGGAAATCGACCTTAGAATCAAACTCACGATATGATTATTACTGGATCTTTAAAACGTTATTCCATCCAGAAAACAAATCAATAATTACAACATATAGTTTAAGAACAATGTTCGTAATATATCGTTTAGGTTTGTTATCTTTAATGGTTAATGAGGGTAGAAAAACCTCTATCGAGAATGGAAGTCGATATTGTCTTTTACGTAAAGTTGGGATGGAAATGAAATTCATTTTACACAGATATGTCATTGGTATCATGAATATTCAAATGCAATGATTTTCATAGCTTCTCTAGTAGTCATGATCTGTTATGGCGCGTATTACATATGTGCCTGGAAGAGACATATATTTGATACACTCAATATTGAATCTTACCCCAAGTGATGTTGTTTTCTCCAAGATCAGTCTCTCCACTTCGTATGACCCAGGTAGAACTTGTCGATCTTGACTGATATTGCTCCTTGTCAATCGCAGACGTTCTCCCTCATGCAGTAACTTCCAGTCTGTGGGCTTACGGTTTCTGAACTCCATTTTTAAATGTTTCATCCTTCGCCATCAAGCAAGACGGATGTTATACTCTCTCAGATAGTTAAAACAACACTGCCACCATGACATATGAGACTCCGCCTTCAACTCAAGAGCGTCACTGTTTTGATCCTATTGACATTCTTAACGTGTATAATCCAACAGTCGGGTTTTTATATTTACGATGACTCATTTGAAGTTTTTTATTTCACTTTGAAAATATAAATGTAAAATAATCTTACCGTAAGGTTGCCATAATTAGATTGTCATTGGTGTGTAAGTACATTAACCATTAAATAAGACTTATCAAATGCCCATGCTTTTACAACACTCGCTGATATTGCTTTGTAGAACATATGATATCTTGAAAATACTTTATAGTTTATTTGTACAACCACTAAATATAAAGTCCTTATAATCCAGACACTAAAAAGTAATATTGTCATGTATTTATGTTGACCAAGTACAGTAAAAACATTAGTTTAATTACAATTGACAACTGACTCAATGATCAAATCATTTAATTACATTGTACATCTCAGTTCATTTGACTTCACTTGTCATCACTGAATATATTAAGGAAAACACATGTGGATGGGCCATTGGTTTTAACTCAGTACTTACCTAGAAACGAATATAATAATCTGTGGAGATTCACTTGACCACAAAGGTGATGCGGATGTATGTTAAAATCTTCCTCTCTCTCTCATAAACAAACAGGCACTTATCTAATGATGGTTAAACTCACAGTAATGAAAGGATTATTGTTACAACGATCCCTGATAAGTACTTTAGGGATCTCTTAACCCCAATCACCGTCCACACTGGGCCAGCTGTTCCCAGACAAACTAAGCGTGGACAAAGGCACGTAACTCATGCATGTAACATGTTTGTTCACGTGAACTGGAAATCACCCTATTTATATTCGCTTTAGCCGATTGTCCAAGCATAAATTGCATTAAAGAAGTATGTAACCAAAAAGATGAACACCTTCCTGATTGTAATCGAGGCTTGCAGTGTCAATACTATGCCAGCACAAAAAGTTACGTAGGTTTTTGTAACGCCAGGACAGTAGTTTTGGCGCATCATGTTAAGCCTCATATAGGCACGTATCAACTTG